GCTTCCCACCGAATCTCCAGTCTCAAATCGAATCAAGTTTGTCTCGGGTAAAATAGGACACGACCTGGCATCTATCAACGAACGGAATTTGTACAATTACGGTGGGAAACAAATGTCTGCAGCATTGACAGTTTATTGCATTTTGTGTATTGCAAGAAATATTCTGCGAGAAGAATATGGGCCATATTAAAATAATTAAGAGATACCAACCTTAATTGTTTTATGACCCTTCGCGCAGAACTCTTCATTGCCAATTCAAGAAAGAAATTCGGATTACCAACACACAAACAGAGAATGTCTCATATCGAGAATATTTAACATTGAACATAAGGAAAAAAATAATTATTTTTAATAATATGTGGAAATCTCCGCTTTTACCTGAAGACGGTCGCGAGACCAGAAACACGTGTCGTACAATTATGTAAAACAAAGCATAATATTTTTTTCTAAATAAATCCACATTACAACCAAAAACGTTTGCGGCACCTCTCTTTTCTTCTTTTTAATATACGTGCTTTTCTCGCGTTGGAACCACTACAACCTCTTTCTTTTTATATATATATATATATATATATATATATATATATATATGCATTAAAGACGACAGGCAAGGTACTCGGAATTACAGAACATTTTAACATTTTCTGCACACTCTTAAGTCCAGGAAAGAAAACACTTGTTTGAACGCAAAAAATTAAATAATAATTTTTTAATAAAAAGCTTAATCGCAGTACCTTGTCGGTCGTTTTTAATGAAAAACACACACACACACACACACACACACACACATATATATATATATATATATAAATTGTCTTTTGCTTTCTGTGAGAAAGTCCGAGAAAGGACTCACTTGGGCATATATGCTGATGCGATCTATCGATCTATCTATCTATCTATCTATCTATCTATCTATCTATCTATCTATCTATCAAATACAATTGTTAATTACTTTTAAAATACATATTTAGCTTTTTAGCAAAATTATGAAAAATTTAATCACACTCATGAAAATACGATACGCCAGTGGTTGTGTGTCTGTTTTTCCTGATGGTGTCAGCCTCTAGTCATACCAGCATGTCCATCTAATGTCGCCCCGGATTCATTATTAAAAATGAATGCTGAGAAATCTCTCAATTTCTCGCCAGATAATTCAGGAGCCGTTCCAGGACAATGATTGCTTTCACTGTCTCTCTCGACATCTAGGAATTGTCTTACATTTATTGATTCATTACAAGACATAAGGCAAATATATTACTGACGAGATCTGTCACTAGCTTCTAGAAGACAATCAATTCTTTACCTCATTTCATGCATTAATGATTCTGCTGGGTTCAGGAATGCACTCATTCTGTTACTGATTTGGCCAAGCCCAGACTTTCGATGGATTTGAAATTAATTACCACAGTCAATATTTAGCCACAGACTAATTCATAAACAGAACCGCCATTATCTTTAAACGTGTTAATACAGTAATATCTCCATAACGCGCAACATAAGTCTAAAATTGAGGAGATTCTTTTATCAATAAGTAATGGATTTTTTCATTTATCAATCGAGAGAATTAATCACTTTAAACGTTATTTTTAGTGGATACTCGTATTTGAGTAGACGCCCCGTTTATTTATTAGTGACTATGCGTTTCTGCACTCCACTGCACAAATTGTGATGATATTTCAAGGTCGACTGTATGCTCGCTAAGTCCACAGGTTTTTCTCACTGGCCGTGATCGAACTCAACAAATAATAACAACACATAATAACGACAAATGATTTTCTCAATTTAATCGGCAATGTCTTCCTTCGACTTCGAGAAGGTGAACTCCTGCTATCTTACTAACTTACGGTCACGGAAAAAGGACCCTTATACTCGGTGCCTGACCGGTCAGTTTTTAGGGGGTCAGTTTTTCAAACGACTCTACTTTTATGATTATCTAAAAAAAAAAAAAAAAAATAACAAAATTTTATGTTTGCCAATTCAAAGGCGGGTGGAGACAGAGTTCCTGAAAAATCCTGGTCATTAAATTGACTCAAAGATTGGCTGAAGACCATATTTCTAAGAGACCCGTGTCTTTCAAGTGATTTAAAAGGAAAAAAAAGAATTTATTTATCCCCTAAGGGGTGTGTGAGAAATCGTATTGATACATATTAGACAATAGGCGAAAGTAAATAAATAAATATACCGTTTAATAAATAAATAAAAAAATCTACTCAAATACAGTAGACGAAAATAAATAAATATATTTTCTTTTTTTAATCATTTCACGGGAATGCCACGAGTATGTAGCAGGTTACAGGGAGTAAAAGTGAGAGAAAATATTGAATATAGAGAGGATTGTGGAAAGGACAAAAGATAGACGGTATAGAAGATGGTGACTGACATTGCATTTAATCTTTTGAAGATTGTACTTATCAAGGAAGTAAATAAACCGAAGGGAGTTTCACGTTGGAGAGGTGCGAGAAAATAAACTGTTGGAGTAGAGGTGACGCTACTGTTTAATGAATCAACTGAGCGTCTACTCGAATATGATAATCCATTAAAAGTAACCTTTAAAGCAATAAAAATCTATCAGATTTATAAATAAAAATCCATTACTTCTTTAGAAATTGCTTTGTTTACGTTTGGATACGAAACTGAGCCAATATGAACTTTTGCGAACCTAAAACAAAAAGAGTGTGCTTAAAAAGCAATTATTCAACTTAGCTTTATCGACGTCACCCTTTGTGGCCGAGTTGGTTAAAAGCACGTCGGATCTAACTAAAATTTCTCCTGCAAAAGTTATTGATTAATAAATAAAAAACATCCCTTACTTCTTTAGAAAATTGCTTTGTTTACGTTTGGATACAAAACTGAGTAGATATGAAAATTTCCGGAGTCTATGACGAGAGGAATTTCGCTCTAAGGCTAAGTTCTCCGCAGTACTAGGGAACATCGGATCTAGGTCGGTTCTCTCTGCCCAGGGGGACGCAAATGCAAAATCCTTGCCGTGAGCGCATATTTTTCTTTAATTAGATTTCTCTAATATTCCAGTCGGTAGACGAAAATAAATGGAGCGTAATGAATAGCGGCTCGGATTGAGGAATCATAGAGCCGAGTTCGAATTCTAGTCGAATACGTGCTAATACTCTTGGGAAAGTTATGAATCCTCTTCTCCCCCCCCCCCCAGCTCTGGGTAAATAGCAGGACCGACCAGGTTCTATAGCCTTGGATGGCAACTGGTCTATTGCAGAAAGAAATGGCAACCTACTGCAGGAAAAAAATTGCCTCGTCAGTCATATATCGAAAGACTGAGTAAAAATAACGTTTAAGGTGATAACATATTCTTTTATGTGTCCATTCAGAACGTGGGCGATCATGGCTCCCCACAACTTCCTAGCTCTTGCAGTTATAAGTAACGTTTGAACTTTTACCGTTTCTTTTTGTTCCCCCTCTGTCATCCATTCACACCACCTTTTTCTTTTATACGTCGTTTCTCTTCAGGAAGTGGGCAATCGTGGCTCTCCACAACTTCCTATTCCTTGTTGATCTAAGGAATGTTTGATTCTCTGACATCCCTTCTTCTCCCCGCTCTGTCAACCATTCACACTTTCTTTTATGTATTGTCGCGATCATGGCTCTTCACGATTTCCTGTACCTTGTAACCCTAAGTAACGTCTGACCTTTTGCCATTCCCCTTTGTCTCTGTTCTGCCATCCTTTCACACCTTATTCTTCTTTTACACACCAGAACGTGGACAATAATGGCTCTCCACAACTTCCGGTATCTTGTTCTGAACAATGTTTCACTCTTTACCATCGCACTTTGTCCTCGCTCATTCACACCTTATTATGTAATATCTCCTTCAGGGCGTAGCGATCATGGTTCTCCGCAACTTCCTTTCTCTTGTAGCTTTAATTAATGTTTGACTCTTTATCATTGTTTTATCTCAATCTACCATCCATCCACACTTTCTTCTTTTAAGTACTGTGTCCCTTAGGACGTGGCGATCATTGTTCTCCACAACTTCCTTTTCCTAGCAGTTCTACAAAAAGCTTTGACTATTTACCTTCTATCTTGGTCCCCGTTCTGCTACCAATTCACACCTTATTCTTCTTTAATGTACTGTATCTCTTAGGATGTAGGCGATCGTGGCTCTCCTCATCTTCCTTTCACTTGTAGCTCTACATAACATTTGACTCTTTATCATCCTTATTTGATTATGTTCTGTCATCCATTCACACCTTATTCTTCTTTTATGTACTGTCTCCATTAGGACGTGGGCGGTAATGGCACTCCACGACTTCCTTACTTTTGATAATCTTCTCTTTTTATCATTCTGCTCTCCATTCAAATGTTATTCTACTTTTATATCTATTATTACTCATAGATCTACCATCCGTCCATGTCTTGAGTATTCCTGTCACATCTGGTCTGGTGCTCCTGCTATATATTTAGAGATTCTTGATAAAATACAAAGAAGGCTCTGCAATGTTATTGGTCCTGACCTGGCATCTCGATTCCAGTCAGTTTCTGAAATGTAGCTTAACTCTGCTTTTTCTATAAATATTTTCATATGTTGTTCTGATAAATTTTCCACCATGTTGCCTAGACTTTATAAATTTAAGCGCAGTACTTGATTGGTGGCAATGTCTCATCATTTTACAGCTGAAATGGCTCGATATAACCGTAAGTTCTATGCTAACAGTTTCTTCTCTCGCACTTCTTGTCTGTGGAATTCTCTTCCGGTTTCTTGGTTCCCAGTCAACTTTAATCTACAAAAATTTAAATACAATGTCAATATAATTTTATTTTTTGTCTTCTTAATTCCTGTTCTTTTATTGTTTTCTGTCCTTAATAACGTTTCCTTTTTCTCATATTCATTTACGCAGTCTTACGTCTTAGTGGCTTTAGAGCCTTGCTTAAGGTGAAATTATTAGAAAAATATACTGTGGACCTTCAGGACGTCGGTGATCATGGCGCTATAAATCTTACTGTATTTTGTTCTAAGCAGCATTTGGCACTTACGGTCACATCACGTTGAAACACCGGTTCCCGTACGATCACCGAAGTTAAGCAACATCGAGTCTGGTCAGTACCTAGATGGGTGGCCGTTTGGGAATACCAGGTGATGTATGCTTGGATGTGCAGGTGGTGTAATGGATAAAGCCTCAGTATTGTTAATCGGTGAGTCTAGGTTCAATTCCCATCGGGTTCGTTATATTCATTTACGCGCAAACACGTTAGGAATTCACCTGTTCTTTCCCCAGCTATGGGTTAATTAATACAACTCGTATCAATAAATCATTATTATCTCCAAAAGAAAAAAAATCATACAATCTAAAAATATTTTCTGGCTTTAAATAACCCGTAAAGGAATGATAACACGTAGAAAACGAATTAATTAATCTTTACTATCCCCTGTGTCCCCGTCCAGCTATCAATACCCCCCTCAAGTAGGGCTGATTGATTTTTCATTTTTTTATCAACATTGCACTCAGTGTGTGTTGTGGCAAACCTACGGACGATAATAGGTATGACCCCATTCACAAAAATGCAGTAGTAAATACTGTATGTTGGTCTGCAGTTGGAGATTCGTCTCCAGCTGTGCTGGTCAAACTTTCTGCCTCCAGGCAGAAAGGATCCCCGGATGAGGCTATGTCGAAGGGCAGAGTCACGTCTCGGGAAACACCTACTCGACCCCTTTTTATACGGGGTCTACGGGGAATTTTTGACCGCGCCTACGGATACCCCACATTAAATTTGGCCTTGTGTCACATTTGATCGCATGGGGCGGTAGGCAGATATACTGAAGTTGGAGACTCATTTTGGAATTCATTTGATTCACTTCTAGCAGTTGACTACTTCTTCTACGCTCCGCTGGCGAATCTTATATGTGTTGTTCTTGTCCTAAGTATTATCGTGCATTACCAACCTTCGTGTGATTATTCTGTTCATTAACCTCCTGCAGGTTACAACAGTGTGAAAGCTGGGGTTTGATGTGGAAAGTATTGACACCAAAGATTAAACTCATGGCTCTTATCCATGTTTGAACATTTAGTCTGAAAGATGTACAAAAATACTTAATTTCCGCAGATTTTAGCTTACAAACTAACTTCAAAATGTTTCTCTTTCAAGAATAAATCCAAATAAAGTTTATATCTTTTGTAATAGATACAGTGAAAGGACAATGTATTCAAACTAGAATTCTATTTATCAATCACCACAAGTAAAATATGCAATTTTTTTTATTGCATTCGATAAGTAAAAACTGGGTAAAAATACGAAAAAGAGGCTATTCAACGAATAAGAGGTTTATGTAAAGGTGTTCAAAAGGTGTATATAACATTATGATACCTTCTGGGCATAAATTATGACAAAAAGGTTTAAATTTGCATTGTTTATTGAGAAACACTAAAATTATAGCACTGCATAATATATTACCTCATAGCTAAATTGTTCAGTATAATTTCCCTTTGAAGGTCTTATTTGATGGCACAATAATTTAGTAATAATGTGCCGGTGCCATGCATCTTGTCCATGTAAAGCTTCAGTAAATTATGAATTTTATAATGTTGTTCTATAAAGCTTTCACTAATCACCGGAATGAAATTTCAACGTTGCTATTTTGAACCTAAACTTAATCTTTAATCTTTTGTACCGAGACCACAGCTTTACCGGTGGTAGAGAAAACTGACGTAAGTCCCAGCCACCGGTTGAATGATGGGTAAACACTTGTAACTATTTTTATACCTCCCGTGAAACATTACATACCAATTATTTGCGAATTTTGACTCAGATGCTCAGGCAGAAGGGTTAAAATTGTTCAGAATTAACGGAGCTCAAAGGCTAAACAAATCAACCAACCAACCAACCAATGATACCTATTTATAATAAAATGACCAAAAATACCTATTTATAGTAAAATGACCAATAATCCATATTTAAAGCAAAATGATGGCAATATTTCAGTAATTTTTACAATTGTGTTATAAAATAGGAAAATCCGCATGCGCCATATTTTTTTTTTGTTCAAACTTTTTTTATTGTTTTTTCTTGCTTATATTCAACACTTCCTGAATATTAAGCCTTTGAGACCTGATCACCGCTTTACCGGTGGTAGAGAAAAATGATGTAATGCCGAACCACCGGTTGAACAGTGGTAGAGAAAAATGACGTAATGCCCAACCACCGGTTGAACGGTGGGTAAACACTTGTAATTATTTTTCTATCTACCGTGAAACATTACATACTTATCTTTTACGAATTTTGACTCAGTGTTTCAGGCAGAAGGATTAAAATTGTTCAGGAGAGCAGGACTCAAAGGCTTAAAATTTTTTCCTAAAAAAAAAGGTAACGATTTGGAAAAATATTTTGAGTCTTTATTTATCATGTCAACCCCTAACTTTTAAATTGAGTGCAATATCACGCTTCAAAAACTGAACCCCAGTCGCTCACTGACAATGCTTTTGCTGTCTTACTCGCCTCCTATGAAATATCTTAAATTGATTGATTTATTATTAGGACAAGAATACACAAGGACGAGGTATTTATCGCGAGATCTGTCATCAAGTTCTCCAAGATAACCCTTCCATAATGATTCTTTTAGGTTTAGGAAGACACTTGTTCTGCTCTTGATTTAACCAACAAAAGTCTTTCCAGGGAACTTGAAATTAATTACCACAGCCAGCATTTAGCCACAGACTAATTCGTAAACGGAACCGTCACTATACTTTTACTAATCATTACTAAATACAAGGCTCAAAAGCCACCCAGATATTGGATGATGCGAGGTACGGTATGAATATAAAAGTAGAAATAAAGAAATACAGATATTATGTAAATATAAAGGATTGATAACTATTAGCCATTGGCTTAAAGAGATTTGGACTACGCTCGGGAGTCTCTTTCACAGAGAAAACATTACGAACTTGTGGAACTAAAGACTGGAGCTCCTCTGAACATTTACCATAGAAATGGCCATAGCGTAGCGACAGGCTTTCGAAGTTGAATTCTTGTGGCATGTCCAAATATCCAGCATCACTATTCTTGCATTTTGGAACCAATATTTGACCGCCTTGACAAGTTAATAAAAGAAGACGAGAAGAAAAGACTAATTATTAACTGTAAGGAAACAGAAAACTTCAGCTAGCACAAAATTCCAAAGATTTGAACTGCGCATTGGAGATGCCAAAATCAAACAAGTAAAATAATTCAAATATTTGAGAAGTGAACAGAGAATGGAAAATGCGACACCGAAATCCAAAGGCGCGTTAGGATAGCGAAAGATGCCTTCCAAAAGCTAAGCAAAGTATTAAGAAACAGAAAAATTTCGGTAGAAACAAAGAAAAGAGTGCTGAACCGCTATGTAATATCAATTCTTCTATATGGCAGGAAATGCTGGACAATTTCACAGTGGAAGAGAAAACTGGAAGCTATAAAAATATAGTTCTACAGAAGGATACTGAGAATTCCATGGACGCAGCGAATAAGCAACGAGGAAGTCTTAAAGAAAATGGAAACAAAATGAACACATATTCAGAATCAGAAAGAGACAGATGAAAATTGTGAAATATATAACGAGGGAAGATGGTTTGGAAAATTTGACGCTCATAGGACATATTAAAGGCAAAGAAAGCAGGGGAAGGCTAAATAGCTTAAACAAATGACTAGCAGAATCGGGATGGTGGGAAAGACGAAGGTGAAGGGGAAAAAGCTTTCTAAAAGCTACATGAAATAGGAAGGTGCAGAGAGCTATGATCGCCCACATCCTAAAGGAATACAGCAAATAATATCTGGGACGTGTTTTAACAAAGAATGGAAATCAAAACTTGTGAATTATTTCCGAGATTAACAGCCGGTAACTTTAGTCATGGAAGGCCAAAGATCGGATAAGAGAGCCTTGTGTATTGCAGAGTTTGAGAGGCACGCGGGTATTAGAAACATTTGTCACCGATTTTGAGTTATTGCCACTGAGAATTTGATTTTTACAACTACTAATCAGAATTGATCTTTACAACTACTAATCACAATTAGATCGACTTTGATTTTGAACTGACACAGAACAATTCCAGGATTCAAACTTGTATAGAATAATAATATCATGATCGAAAAAAAAGACAAATTCGCTTCTTTATTAGAAAAACGAGTGTAACTGTGCCATCAAAAGATGACAGCAATTGGTGCAAGGTTTTTTAAAAGTAAGATGCGATCAAACAAGTCTTGAAACAATTTACAGGGTGCGATGAATAAATTGTCCTCTAAATGATGCAAAAATGAAAATAACACTAACATGTCATTTTAACAGATATCCAGGTCGCGATGGATAAATTGTCGTCCAAATGAAAATAACACTCGCATGTCGTTTTAACAGATATACAAGGTGCGATGGATAGATTGTCGTCTAAATGACGTAAAAATGAAAATAACACTCGCATGTCATTTTAACAGATATACAGGGTGCGAAGGAAAAATTCTCGCCTAAATGACGCAGAAATGAAAATAACGCCGGCATCTCATTTTAACAGAATCACAGTGTGCGATGGGTAAATTGTCGTCTAAATAACGCAAAAATGAAAATAGCACTGACATCTCATTTTAACAGATATATTTACCAAAAGTACACAAAAATATCTTGAAACGCTAAATAAAATTGCCACTGGCTTTAACCACGCCCTCTAGACGACTTCGGAATCTCCTGCAACTCTTCTGATTGGTTTCCTTGCTTAAGTTGGTGAATGCTACCATAATCCTTGCCTTCGGCCCGTTTTTAGTGTTACAATGAGTTTTGTTGGACTCACTCAGTTACTTCCGACACATAATATCAAGGGGGTTGGAGCCTGGAGAGTTAGGTGGCCAGATGTAAGGGGTGATGTAGCCGCAGAAATTGCCTGATAGCCATATAACTGGGTTCTCCTGCTTGTTTGGTATGGTGCAGAATCCTGTTGCCAGACATAGGTCTATCAGCAGCCACCCGCTTGTTCCAGGGCAGCGCTAACTTCTCAAAGCACTTGATTTTGGCCTCCGTGTTCAGTCTGAGGCCCTCACCTACAAATCCAGAACGACCAGAGTGAGTTTTCCGAGCTGCTGTACCTTCGTAATCGCGATTAGATTCATCTAATTCTTTTCGAATCCTCTG